TCCAAGATCAAGGTGCTGTCCAATTGGTGTCTGGTGAGGGACCACTTCCTGGTTCATAGATGGCCATCTTCTACTGTGTACTGACATGGTAGAAGGAATGAAGGAGCTCCGTAGGGTCTTTTTTATAGGGGCACTAATGTCATTCATGAGGGCAGAGCCTCCCAAAGGCCCCACCTTCAAAATCATCACACTGGGGGTTAGGATTTCAACACATAAATTATGAGGGGACACAGACACTCAGTCTATAATAGTAAAGTTATATAATTTGTTTGGAGATATAAATGCTAACATTAAATGGAATATCCCACCAGCCCCTAACGTTTAATTGGATGTCATTTTCAACTATTTGGGTGGACTTGGCAGGTTTAAAAATGTTGATGTTTAATACTAGCACACAATTAAACACAATGGCTCAGTGTGTTTTACAGTTTATAGTTTTGTCACTCAAATTAGTCATTGCTTCTCAGCTCATTTAAAAATTCCTTAGATCACGTCTGACATATTTTGTGTTGCTGCAACACCGTATTGAGTATACTTCATGGTGCACTAATGCTTACTGAATGGTAAGACAGGATTGTGTTTCCATTCCATGGGGCTCACAACATGCTCCATGGGACCATGATCCGTCAACTGTACTCACATATCATTTCAATACCTGAGCCAAGGCCGATCTCTTACCAATGGAGCCACGGGTAACGCCAACCTCTGAGATCATACTAGCTAATGGAAGGAAATGTCTATTTTAAGGCTAAGTGTACTTGCTATTACAGGTACTGTAATATGTTAGTTCACATATTGGGCTTTGGAGTTAGACCCAGCTCTGAGTTCTGCTCATGGTGTGTTTTGCAAGCAAGTTCTTTAACCGAGACTCAGTTTCTTCATGTATAAAATGATGATAACAATAGTAGTTATGCCTCATGGTGATTGTGATGATTAAAGAGGCAATATAGGTAAATGCCTACATTGTACCTGATACTCAGTTCATATCAGCTATTATTTTCATTCTTCTTATTTAATAATTTGTTGGATTCTTACCTTCCTTCTATGTCCCAGTTCCCTTTACTTCACATTGTTTTTTTGGATGAATGAATAACTTCCCATTTGCCTCCAGCTGCATTGTATGAGGGGTGGTTCTAGTTCTTAAGAAGTTTTGGACCTGGGGGTATGATTTATTAACGTGACACAATCAGTGAACAATCAAGGTATGTATCAAAAAAATGTTTTGTGGAGCCGGCCAAATGGCTCAGTTGGTTAAGAGCTCACTCAAGAGTTTGAGCTCTGAGCAACAGTGGTTTGATTCCTGGCCCGAGCTGAGCAGCCGCTGAGCTGCCAACAGGTGGCAGGATGGCTCAGCTTAAAAAAAAAATGTTATGTGGCAGTGGTGAAAGTCCATAGAAGAAAGATGTGCAGATGAAATAATCAAAGAATCACACCTTTGGGGGTGATCTTCTGTTGACCATTTAACTGAGTGGATGAACAGGAGAGGGGCTTCTAACTGGAGAGGAAGAGCATGGACAGAGGCACAGAGGTGGGGATGAGAGCAGTGGACCACACTTGACTGCTGTTCCAAAGCACTACCGTTTGTCACTGACTCTCCTATTCCTTGACTCCTTTCTTCTCAAGTGAGTAGAACTTCCCTCCCTAGTTTTCAGCATGACCTTAGATGATGCTCTTGGCTTCTGAGGGCCTCAGTCTCCTCATCTGTGAGATGAAGGTGCTGAAATGGCCCCAGGCCGCAATCAGATTCAAAGGTCCCACCCATAGTACCCAGTCTTCCCAAGATTTACTTACCAAAGACCATTAGCAGGACTGATCCTAGAACCATAATGCCAGCATGTAAGGTATCAGTATAAACCACAGCTGCAAAACCACCTGAATGGGCAAGAGAAAGAGGAACAAAAGCCACCGTTGACTCTTTCTGTTGAAAGTTGCTTCGGCATCGTGTTCTCCATATTTGTTTCCTCCCAGATCTCCACATTCACGCCTTTTCTCCATTTAATTCAGTGGGCCTTGTAACTACTTAGGCTTAGTCTCGGTACACCCTGTTTTCTCTCGTTTATATTCTTCACGATCTTTTGTTGGATTCTTATACTGCCCTTCTGTGTTCCTATTTCCCTTTACTTCCCATTTTTTTTTAATGAAAATCTGGTAGATTTCCTAAGGGGAAAAAAACCTGGTAGTTTTTCTAAAATCTGTTTGGAAGCAACAGCAGCATCCCTGGCCTCTACCTGATAGATGCCAGTAGCACTCCCCAGTTGTGACAACCAAAAATGTCTCTACACATTATCGAATGTCCCCTGGGAAGAAAAAGCCACTCCCCACTCTTTAACACTGAGGACCATTGGTTGAGTGCATTCCATTCCCAGGCCTTATTCTTTCCACTAGACTGTGGTGAGCTCACCAGCATCTAAGATTTGTGTTGTGGCTGGAAAAAAACGTATGATGAGAGCCCTCACTCTCACAATCCAGGCAGAGATTGTCTAGGACAGAACTGCCTACATAAAAGATCCCGTCTGATGGCCTGACCAGGTTACTAGGTGAGCAGGATGGCTTGAAGTTGCAGCTTCCCTTTGTGCGCTCCCATTCTTTTACCTGGCAGCGTGCCCAGGTAAAACCAACCCAATCTGATTTCTAGGGGTAGGACTCCATTTAGGCACCCCCGTCTTGATCAGTTTCGCTGTTCTCTCCATCCCTCAGGCCTCAGGAATGTGATCTACAGACTTAGATAAAATACAAAAGCTGAGGGTTCCTGCCTCAATATCTGCCAGGAAGGACTCCACTTAGAAGCAGAGTTTTTGTGTCAATATAAACACCTGGGTGGTTGGAGTAACCTCACCTGTGATGGTATAAATGCCAGTAATTGTCAGCAAGGCTATGGTGGTCAGGTAAACATCCAACCCCAAAACCATCCTCATGAATATGGCACCAGTGCAGATCTCCACCTGAAATGAGTACAAAGGTAGCAGGCTGCACTTCCGTTTCCAGCTCAATCAACAGCAATCCCACGAAAACACTGATCTTAGAAGCCATGTGTGGTTAGCACGTCCACTCCATTATTGGTGGACATCAGGTGAGGGTTACCCAAGTTTTGCTGGGCAACAAGGCTTGCGTCCCACAAGGTCAGCGTCTTTAGGGCTTGAGTTAACCCAAATAGTCCAGTTAATACAAATGAGCCTCTTCCTCCCTGGAGCCTCAGAGTGGGGAGTGTGCTCAGAGAGTGAGCTGTTCTGCAGTTCTGCCATTGAGAAAAGGCAAAGGGAACAGTTTATCAGGAGTTGGCAAGCTTTTTCTGTACAGGGCCAGATGGTAAATATTGTAGGCTCTGCAGGCCATACATGGTCTCTGTTTTGTTTTGTTTTTAATAACCTTTTAGAACCGTAAAAACCATTCTTAGCTTAAAGGCTGTGCAAAGCAGACCACTAGGATTGGCCTGTGGGCTGGATTTGTTGATCCCTGGCTTAGTTGACAGTGATTTTGAAGCATCTGCACATCACTTAATGGGCTAACTTCTTGCTATTATTTCAGTCCCCGAAGCCAGGGATACAATGGGCAGAGATTCTCCCAACATTCATCCATCCTTTTTTTTTTTTTAACTGAATACCAACCATGTAGTAGATATTTAGCAGTGTTCAGAAGACACAAGGGTTACCAAAACTCAGTCACTATCTTTAAATAGTTTACAATTAATGGAGACAGATCACTAAATAGGTAATTTCCATACAATGTGGTAAGTGACACTCATTCGATTATTCAAAAAACATTTATTGAGTGCCTTATGTGCTAAACATGTTCTCAACACAGGGGGCAATGCAGTGAATAAGACAGGCAAGGTCCTGGGCCACAAGAAGTTTACACCAAAGTGGAGAAGACAGATGATAAGCAAGAAACAAATAAATTCCTCTCACACATTGACAAGTATTACAAAGAAAATAAAAAGGAGTAATAGAGTACAGACTAATCGGCACATCCATGGAAGGCCTCTCCAAGGAAGTGATATTGGAAAAATCTGGGAGAAGAACATACCAGACACAGTATAGAGTAGGTGTCAAGGGCTTTAAGTGGGAATAACCTTGCTGGATTTGAGAAACAGTAAGGCAGGCAGTGTGGCGAAAGCACAGTGACTATAGGGGACAAGGCCAGAGAGGCAGGGGCTAGGACAAGACAGTCCTCACCCATCATGACAAGGGGTTTAGGTTTTCTTGTCAGGGTGGTGGAAACTCCTGGTTTTAACCCTCCATCGGGCGCAACTGATCTCACAGGTTCATTGCACACAAAGGTGCCGCTATGAAATACGTCTTTACTGTACTAAGTCACAAACACGACTGGCGATAGGTTATGGTAGACGGGGAAGATACGGAAGCGATGAGTCATGATACTTAACTGTTAGATATTTGAAAATTTGTGTGCAATGAATCTGTGAAATCAGTTGTGCCCCACGGAGGGTTAAGCAGGAGAGTGACATTACCTAATGCTATGATGTGGGTAAGCCCAGGGTTCTCTGGAAATACAGAGGAGGGACCTGTAATCTAGGCTTGGGAAGCAGAGAAGATGCCTCTGCTTTTTATCTTTTGCAAAGTATTATTAAGCTATTTTTTTCTTTACTCTGGCTTAGACAGTGGAGGCCAACAAGTAACTTATGGGGCACTAGGGTGAACTGCTGGGATAAATCTAGCATAGTCCTGCCTATTGATTTTTGATTGTTTGTTTTGTTTTCTTTCTTGGGTTGGCTTTTACACAAACTTACTGAGATACTATTGAAGATATAGAGGAATAAGTACAGAACAGCGAGAAGGAACTGAATCCGGCAGCCACCGAACCTCTTCCTCAAATATTCTGGCATTGTCACCACCTGTACGAGCAACAAGAGAAGTCACTGTCAGACAGAGTGCCAGAAGAGGCAGACCCCAAGGGATAGATAGGCCTTGCTCACAAAGTGATGGTTGTCAGAGATGTGGCTGACAGTGGGAGTGGCCCAGGAAGACAGGATAAGGTCACTGCCTCTGGCTTGGCATTACATGGCACCTGTTCAGATGAGAGAAATAAGAAAGGACAGGCAATATCACAGTGTTCAAGAAGCTTGGAATCTAGCTTCCTGTGCAAGCTTCAGAATGCAGAAGGAAATATAGCTAATCGAAAATGTCTAATGATGACAAGTCACTTTTATGAAATAATCACAGTGCAAAGTCAAATGCTTTATCACATACTACAAATATAACAAGTGCTCACGATAGTCAGAACTTGACTCTGTGCCAACGATGCTCATGTGCGTGCTGGTGCCTCAAACAACCGTTCATTTCTACATGCATCGTCTCAGGCTGTGTGCACCCCAGTGGGAGGGAGTGTGCCCTCTTTGTTCATTAGGTTCCTGGACCTGAGCACAGTGCCTGGCTCATGGTAGGTGAATAAATAAATCTTAAATGAATACTGTCCCACATTCTGTCCTGAGTAGCCTCATATGCTCTTGTCCGCCTACCTCACTCATGCCTAACTCAAATTCCATCTGCTTTATGAAGACTTACCTGGGGGCTTCACAGGGATCACATGCCCTCTCCTAAACACCTACAACTTTTATTATTTTCACCTTTCACTTGGTTTTTAATCATATACTGTCATATATGGCTCACGTTCTCAGTCAGGTGCTAATTTTTTAAAATTTTTTATTGTTAGTTTCAGGTGTACAGAACAATGCAATAGTTATCCTTTTTACCCTTCACACAGACTCAACCCCCCTCCCCCATCTACTGCCCTCCCACCCCCGATATGCTTATGCTAAGCTGTTTTAACACTTGCTACTTGCATTAGTCTGCTAGGGCTGCCACAACAAAGTATGGCGACTGACCGAGTACGGAGTACGTTGCCTCACAATACACTGGAGGCTGGGAAGTTCAAGGTGTCCGCCTGGTTGGCTCCTTCTGAGGGCCCTGAGGGAAGGACTGTTCCAGGCCTCTCTCCTTGGCTTGTTGATGGCTGTCTGCTCCCTATGTCTTCATATCCTCTTCTTTCTATACATGTCTGTGTCCAAATTTCCTCTTCTCATAAGGTCATACTGGATTAGGACCCACCCTGATGATTTCATTTTTAAAGATCTTATCTCAAAATGTGGTCACAATCTGAGGTAATTTTCCTGGGATTATGGCTTCACAATTGCAAGTGTTAGGGTACACGCCAATAAGTCTCTCATATTTTTAATGACCTCTTCACAAATATTTGAAATTTCAACTGTTTCATGAGGCATTATTTACATACAGTCAAATTCTCCCATTTGAAGTATAAAGTTTTATGAGTTTGGGAAATATAGACAGTTGTGTAATCACCACCATATTCAAGGTATAAAGCATTTCCAATACTCCCACAAAGCCCCCTAAGGCATACAGTTAAGGCTTTCTTTACCTCTCGTCCCAGACAACCAGTATCAGCTGTCACCACACACTTGCCTTTTCTAGAATTTCAAATAAATGGAATCATATAGTATGTACTTTTTTACGTACTTCTTTCACTTGGCATGCTGTTTCTGAGATTCATCCACGTGGTTGCACAATTCCTCTTTAGTTTTGAGTAGTATATCACATTCTCCTATTCCAATTTAGATTTTTTTTCTAGGTTTGGCTATTATGAATAAAACTGCTATGAACCTTTGTGTGCAAATTTGTGTGTGGACATGTGTTTTCATTTCTCTGGGGAAAGTAATTATCTACACCTAGGAATAGAATGGCTGAGTGGTAAGGTTTAATTTGTTCCGAAACTGCCAAGCTGTTGTCCAATGTGGCCATACCATTCTGCATTCCCTCGAGAAATGTGTGCGCGTCCCAGCTGCTCCACAACCACTCTTGCTAATGTCAGTCTTTTTCTTTTTTTTCTTTTTCTTTTTTTTAGCTGAGCCATCTTGCTACCTATTGGTAGCTTAGCAGCTGCTCAGCTCGGGCTGGCATCGAACCGCTGTTGCTCAGAGCTCAAACTCTTGAGCGAGCTCTTAACCAACTGAGCCACTCGGCCGGCCCATGTCAGTCTTTTTAATCTTAGCCATTCTAGTGAATGTGTAGTGGTATCTTATTTTAAGTAGT